ACACCCAACTCTTCATCAACGTCTGGATTAACACTAGCTTCATCTTCCTCATCTTGAAGCCAGGCTAGAGCTTCATGACGCACGTCATGACTGTTCCTTAAGATAAGCTTCTCATAAGCATCAGACTCTTTTCTGTCGATATCATCAGTGAGCTGAGAATGATAACATTTATGTGCCTCCTGAAGTTGTGCAAGGGCTAGGTCGAGGCTCTGCAGCACTGACTTTAATTCTTCCGGCTTATTTTCTCTGATTTTTTCATTTGCCGATGTTATCATCTTAGTTACAGCTGCTTTCGCTTGTCCTCTCTTCCTCTTTAGCGTAGCAAGGTCTATTTCTCCCGCAGAATCTCCGGTTTTAGACATAATTGCCGTGTGTTTAACTTTATGTTGCAAAGAACATAAGGTAGCCATTGATGTTGTAACTGTTCTTTTTTTTATTGCCGAGTGCTTTACGCGGACATGCCGGTTAAACTGTAAATAACGTAAAAAAAATAAAAAGACAAACAAAACGTCAATACTTAATATTGCGATATTCAAAAGGACACAAACTTAAACATAGCTTTACAGCATTAATATATAACTCACCACATTGGGCAACACTCATGAACATTGGTAAGATTGGTAAGATATGAATAAATGGCAGGTTAGGCTTGTTAGTGTGGTTGCTAGGCAACCTAAGTACACTAATGGTCCGCAGTTCATTTTCTTCTTCTACACATACCAGTATAAAGCAACTATAGAGCCCCCTAGTGGAACGGGAGGAGTGAATCCAACATCCCGGCCCCGATGAACTCTACAGATGTTCATCTCAGAAAAAATTGGTGAACGTAACAACCTTAGATAACTATTTAATTCTAACCTTGTCAAAGAAAAAAAACCTTTTCAAATGAAATCTCTGTTACCTTTTTGATAATTGAACTTAAAGTGGTGACTACCAGTTTACAGTAATCGTGATAAGATTGAGTGAAAGTCATCTGTAGCGTATAGAAAACCCACACAAGCTGAAAAATAAGTAAATCTACTCATCCATATTTCCTTCTAGCAAACACAGCTTGTGTATAGGACGGGTGTATGCGCCTCTATGAGTCTTTACTTGCACTGATCGCACCAGACCATCAGCTCCAATGTTGACATCAGTGACCAAACCAAGAGGCCACTGACTGTGAGGCGTGTATGGATCAGTACAAGATCTCCGACCTGATAGTTTCTGGAATGGTGATTCCACTTTTGCCTCTGCTGCAGGTTGGGTAGGTACTCCTTCACCCACCGAGCCCAGAAAATATCTGCTAAATACTGGACTTGACGCCAACGTCGATGGTACAGATCCTCTTTTACAAAGTGACCAGGAGGCAGAGTGCACTCTGATCTCAGCAGTAGCAAGTCATTGGGAGTCAAAGGTTGACCATCCCTAGGGTCATCTGACAACTTTGTTAGTGGTCTCCCATTGACGATGTTTTCAATGATACAGAAAAGTGTCATTAATCCTTCATCATCCAAAGTCTGTTGTAGTCTGCAACCCTCATAAGAATTGAGTGCACAGAACGAATCTGTCTCTCCCATACACCCCCCATATGTGAGGCGGCAGGAGGATTAAACTTCCATTGCGTTTCTCGCTGGAGTAGATGATCCTCAATCCTCTGCTGGTTCCATCCTTCCAGAGCCTTCCGTAATTCGTGACAGGCACCAACAAAGTTCGTCCCGTTGTCCGAGCGTATCAATTGAGGCGTCCCACGACGAGCCATAAATTGTTGAAGAGCATTTATGAATGATTCTGTGTCCAAGCTGTGCGCCACCTCCAAGTGGATGGCCCTGGTAGTTAGGCAAGTGAATAGACAGCCATATCTCTTCACCTCACTCCATCCTCTTTTGATGGTAATGGGCCCAAAATAATCAATTCCGACGTGAGTGAAAGGCGGCTTACATGGAGTCACACGATCAATGGGCAAGTCAGCCATGTACTGAGTACTGAGTGGAGCCTTTTGTCTTTTGCAAGGTATACACTGTGCTAGGACTTGCTTCACTGCTATGTGGCCTCTGACAATCCAAAAGAATTGTCTAATCTCAGCAAGTACCCTTTCAACTCCAGAATGACCTGTGAGTTTGTGAAAATGCCATATGATAAGTTTGCTAATATGGTGGTTTCGAGGCAAAATCGCTGGGTGTTTTGCAGCTTCGGCTATTGGAGCATTGGTGAGCCTTCCTCCAACGCGGAGTAATCCATCACTGAGTCTTACTGGAGTTAACTTCCTGATGCCTTCTACTTTCATTGGACAAGTAAAGTGGGTGCGTTGAACGTAGTCAATGATAGCAATCTCTGCCAGTTTCATTTCGTTTGGTGTTATTGGAGCATATAGTCTGAGTTCAAACTTCTTTAGAAGGATATTCTTAGCTCGTAGGATCAATAAAATAGCTCGTTTGAGTTTGTGCCAGGAGGAATACCTCTGAATGAAACAGTCAATTGCTGATTGAATGGTGAGCTTAGAAGACATTGCATATGTCTGACTTGACTTCTTTACCTCCGCTTCAGGAGGTAAGCTTCCTAGTTCAGGCTGGCAAGGCCATAATTCTTCTTCCTGCCACAGGAAGGCAGGGCCTTTGAGCCATCGCTCACTGTTAGTGAGTTCTTCAGCAGACAGTCCTCTTGAAACATCATCCGCAGGGTTTAGTTCTGTGTAGACATGTTTCCATTGTGAGGCTTGTGAGACTTCTCGGATCTGTGAAACTCTATTGGTAACAAAGGTTTGGTACCTTTTCTCTTCGTTTCTGATGTAATGCAGAACAATAGTGCTGTCTGTCCAAAAGACAGAATCCGGGAGGGGTAGCTCGAAGCTTTTACAGATCTTCTGATCAAGCTGTACTGCTACTACAGCTGCTGCCAGTTCTAGTCTTGGAATAGTACTTGGTTTGACAGGAGCTAGCCTATTCCTAGAGAGAATATTACAGTACTTGTTATTGTTGCTTACAACCCTAAGGTAGCTAACAGCACCATAACCCAATTCAGAAGCATCACTGAAGTGATGAAGTTGCATGGTGACTGAATCTGCAGTAAAACCTTCAGGTCTGAGACACCGAGGCACCTGTAGTCTGTAGAGTTTTGGTAGATCGTCTAACCACCGGCCCCATTGCTCAGCAATGTCACTTGGGATGGTTTCATCCCAACCTAGCTTCAAGCGACAGTGCCTGAAACAATGCCTTTCCCTGTAAAATAAATGGGCCAACTAACCTCAGGGGGTCATAAACTGAGCTTATTGTACTTAGCATGCCTCTTTTAGTGTTGGGTTTGTTCTTGACTTTGATGATGAAGGTGATACAGTAATTTGTTATGTCCCAGAACAACCCCAGAGCTCTTTTCAAAGATGGATCTCCATCCAGGTCCAACAATGGTACTTGATTAGCATGTTCCTCCTCTGGGATAGACTGTAGAACCTCAGTTGAATTGCTTGTCCATTTAGTCAAGCGAAACCCTCCTTGCATAAGTAGGTCAATTAGCTGTGCTGCTAGACAGATGGCTTGTTGGGGTGAGTCTGAGGATTTCAGGCAATCATCCATGTAGAAGTTTCTTTCTACAGTGGATATAGTATCTGCATCATATAGATGTGCATGATCTGACGCACACCTCCTCAATGCAAAGCTTGCTGCGCTTGGAGACCACACTCCGCCAAAGAGGTGGGATGTCATGGGATGCCGTAGCACATCTCTGTGTTCTGGAGTTACATGTATCTGATTGAACATGCCCTCGATGTCCACCATTATGGCAACAGGACCTTGTCGGAAGCGGATCGGCACATTTATTAATTTGTTTGTTAGATCTGGGCCCTGGTGGATGATGTCATTGAGAGATATTCCATCATATTTTGCTGCGCAGTCAAAGACGACTCGCACCTTTCCAGGCTTGCAAGGATGAATCACTGGATGATGTGGGAGATACCAAACTTTGTCATCATTGTGGTTGAGCGACAAGGCTGGAACTTCTTCTGCATATCCTTTATCAATCGTTGACTTCATTGCCTTAACATACTTGTCTTTCAGATCTGGGTCCTTTGTTAATCTACGTTCCAGTAGTTGTAGTCTCCGTGTTGCTAAGTTGATATTGTTAGGCAGTGTCACTA